CCTACAGAATAATTTTATCCTGAATAAAGGAAAATTAAATTAATTAATTCACATGTGTTTTATAATACATTCAATTTCTAAAAATGCAAATAGTTTCCACAATTCAAATTCCCATAAGTATTTTATTTAAAAGATATACATATTTCCAATCAAAACTAGCTTTTACTATTATAGTTGTCTAGTTATTGTTATAATTTTGATGTCCATAAAATTTTTTATGCCTTTTCCAAAAAGTTTTCCATTCGAACCAATTTCTATTCAAGAAACAAATTCTCTCTAAAGATCAAACGTTATTCACTCTAGCATACAATTTCAATATATCTACAACTACTTGTCCTAAACCTTAACATTTACTATAAAATACTAAAAAGTGCTTCAGCATTGCAAAATAATATACATAACTCAAAGTTTTTTGCATAACAAAGGGTTACAAAGATGAACTGCTGTCATAACTGTCTTGTTACATCAATTACCAGAATAGTTTTAGCATTATCAATTACAAAAGTTTAAGTAATAATGCTGGGAGGGAGTGGGGGGGAGGGAAAATGGAGCCGAATGACAGGAAGACTCTACTATAAATCTCACCATATCAATTCTCAAGGATAGTTTCTGTACTTCCGACTCTGTAAGGATAATAACTAACTTGCCTTACAAGACGGTCATTAACACTGAGTCATTAACCTTGGTAAAGCGTCAATACAATAATTTATCAATAATAATAATTTATCAATACCAGCTCACATAGATTTCATACATCAAAACTAATCATCCCAAAGCAAAATAATTCTTTGGTTTAGCAGAAGCAGCCTTGGTTTCCTGCATATTTGGTCACATGTAATTAAATGCAATTGCACTGCAAAACTACAGCTAAATTCCTGAGAGTTCTATAATGAATTCTGCTTACAGAATATTACAACGTTAAAAATCAAACAAAAAGACAAAATAGAAATTAGTTTCAAAACTGCTATAGGAGTTTTAACTTTAACTGATCTTAATGTAAATGTCTAACATTGCACAATGATTGAATGGTTGAGGGAGTTTAAATAAAGATGCCATGCTAATATATATTTTTTACGTTGTGAATAATAATATCATCACAACAGTTACTTGAAAACAACATTTAATGAATATGCTGTGAGGTGAGAAAAGCATAATGGAATATGACATGGCATATGTACAGATGGAATTTTGGAAATTATTGTAATCACATGGGTTTAAATGGAATGCATATTGGTTTGTCTCAAATTGCAATTGGTAGAGTCATTCAATATACTTGCTTGATACTTTTAAAAAAGGAATTTTTATACTACAATCTACTGGATAAAATATCTTGGCACTTCTGTATACCAATGTATTTACATTGTTGTCAATCTTGCAGAATGTAATTCTGACCTAATTCTACGATACAGCTAAGTGTAGTTGTGTATATTTATATAATTTCCCCAAAGTCCTAAAATGTGAAGGAGAGGGCAACTGTTTTCACAATATTAGGACTCATTAGGTCTCTAGGCAACTATAAATTTCTTTCATATAGAAACTACTGGTTTGAGTACAAACATTAGTTGAATACAGGAAGTCCCCAGGTTATGAACCTCTGGATTATGAACAACCCCAGGTACAAATGGACTTCTTGAGGTATTCAAAGTGGTGGACAACCAACCACAATGAAATCTAATTCAAGAAAAAAAGGCAGGTTCACTGGAGGAGGAGAAGCTATGGCTGAATAGTGTAGGGAGTTTAATTTTCTTCCAACAGGCTATTATTATAGTTTCAAAATTATTTTCTATACAACAACTGAAAAATCAGGTGACGTAATACAAGAGTAGCAGATAAAATTTGCAAAACATTCACTGTGCTAGAGCAAAAAGAAAATGCTGTACTAGAGCAAAACGAAAAAAACACGAACAGCAGTAGAAGAGAAAAAAGGCCAGCAAAGAACAAAATACCAAAATGCCTAGATTCTAGCTTTATATAATCAACAATGGGAACAGCATTATTTGAGCATGCATTCCAAATTGGAGAAAAGATTCCTGCCAAATTTGACCTCTAGAAACTTTCATATGAAGATGCAGGTAGTATCAGACAAAGATGTGTGAATCACCAAAACTGCAAAGAAGAATTTAAACTCCATACTTTAGCTTAACAAGTCCAGATTTTACCATTCTATAAATTAAATGAAATACTAACAAAATTATGAACACATAATTATTTAATGGGAAAAATGTCTTCTCAAATCACAGTAATATTCGGGAATTATCCTTTCTTAATTATGTTTTACAATATTAAAGATGCAACTAGCAAGGAAGAAAAAGGTAAAAAGCTAATACTGATTTTTTTAAAGCTCTTAATCTTACAAATTTTGATAATGGTACCAAATTTAAAAATTATTTATTAATATGAAATGTATGTATTTCTTAAGTAAATGTACAATAGAAGACAGCTTTTATTTATGACTTCTAATTGATATTTTAGTTAGACTTTATAATTAATTGAAGTGTTATACTAACTGAAATGAATTCCTATAAACCATTAACCACTTTAGCAGAAGAAATAATAGTAATAACAGTATGATTCTGATAGCATTTTGTATCTTAGACTCTAAGATACATTTACTATATTGGGATTTAGTACTACATGTATTAAATTTGATATTTAATAATAATGAACACAAGTCATCTAAGAAAAATTATTTATGTGATAAAAGTTGCAATGCAGTTCTTATTTATTTGAGAATATCCCATCATGGTCTGAGATACTTTGGGCTTAGAACGTGGTTTATTTCTATTTTGAAAAAAATAAATGTAAAAATTTATGCTTGATGGATAACTTTATGGAGAAGCAAATATTTGTCATACATAGCTGCCAGAAAATGTAAATTAGAATTAATTGGATAGTCTGTTCTTTTATCATATGTGTATTCCAGAGAGTGGTGCTGGGAGACTATTCTTCAACCATGATTATTTTTGCTTTAGGGGACAAATGTATCTTTAAAGTTCTTCTATTTTCATTAAAAAGTTAAATATTTTTTCATTACGATATAGTATTAGCTTGTAGTTCTCATTAGATCAACCTTCAAATTGTACATAGTGACTAAATTCCAGCTCTATATAAGTAAGCAATACACCTATTTTTAGAATCAAGGATATTGGAAAGGGTGGATCATCTATCTTAGAAAAAAATATTTTTATTGAACGTAGAAATAACAACTATGAAGTTGTTTTGGATATAACATTGAAATCACATGAAAACATATCAACAACTCTGGTTACCACATTCAGAACCAGATACGAATTTGCTATAGTATTTCAGGCAGACTTTGACTTACATTCGGCAACTTAGTGATTATTCCAAGCTTCAACAGTTGCCCCCTATCCCCAATCCTGTGACCAGGCACACAGCAACTGGGCCAGTTTATGGCGGTTTGTAGCATCCTACACTCACAGCATTTACTACGAAAATGGTGCTTACTTCTTAAGGTCATTTGCTTAACAATAATCACAAAAAGGTCATAAAATTGAGATACCCGCATGAGCTACTTTACCACCATCATGAATTAAAACTGTGATGGGCATGCTCCATTATGGTCATGTCCATCACAGTTGTTACAGGACATGATTTTCCAACTTCTAAACAGGACTATTAAATCATGCTGAACATGGAGCTACGTAAAATACATTAAATTAAAATACTGCTGACTAGGATTGTACATAAAGCACATATTATTAATTTGGTGAGAATTCTATAAGTCTTAGATTGTTTCCAAACCAAATTTAAAAGTGCTGGTCTTAAATTTGTAAAGCCCTAAATAATGTGGATTCAAAATGTTTGATAGAATGCTTCTATGGAAGGAGTTATGATAGATATCAAGTCATGCTTTCTCAATTTTCTGAATTCCTGCTAGCTTCAATTTTCTGAATCTCCTTTCTGAAGGATAGATGTTGCCTGACTCAGGCTGCATATGGGGTTCTAATAAGAGAATAGAAACTTTGTACTGCTGATTTTTAAATGGTTGTTTATATTATTGCTTGTAAATTTTGGTTATCCTTCTGTTATACTTTTATAAACATAGTTATTTTGCTGTGTTTGTACTTTAATGCTAAAAATGCAAAGTTGAGAAGCAGCTTAGAAACTAAACTGTCAATATCAATCAAAATCTTGAAATGAAAGCAACACAAAAAATGATTTTTTTCAGAAAATTCTACATGAGACAAAAATAATTGGAATCAAACTCTGCAATAAAGTGTACATTATACTTCAGATATTATACAGTTCATATATGCAACATGTGAACGTTATTATAAGAAGGCAGTTGTGACCAAGCCTTTTGTAAATCACTCCTCTGGTTTAAAAACTGCACTATTGCTGTGCTAAAAACATGTCTGAACTGACACATAACCATGTGCAATTGTTCTTATCAAACTAACCACTTCATCTTCCATTTTTATACAGTTCACTGCTACCTTTCTCCAACACTTCAAACACTTGCCAAATATACTCAGAATACTGAAAAGCAGTATGCAATTCAAAAGATTTTATGTAAATAGCAAACTATAAATAGGTTTGCATTTTTGTGTGTGTTTACATTAGCACATTCTTGACTTCTCCCTGAATCAAGCACTTCAGACTTATTTTATGCACAGTAACTGCCATAAATGGCTATAAGTTAAATACAAAGGAAGATCTAGCAGACTTTAGGCAAAAAAGTAAGAAAGGGTACATGTTCAACCAGCTCCCTTCATACAATACACAAAGCAAAGATTCAGAATAGTTCCCAGATCCGAAAAAGAAATCCTAGCTTGGTCTGATCCCATGTAGTCTTCATAATTTCCCAAAAAGAGTTATGCGCGCTCATCTATATAACATTCCGAAATCAGCTAATGATCCAAAAAGCACTAAGGGTTTGGGCAAAACAAATGCAAGCATCCAATCTGAAACGTGTTACAGGAAAATTCTTCCCACGACTATTTATCCCAAGACCATATTATTGGCTGTTACAGTACCTGGCTGGTTTGTGGACTGGACGGGTCATAAGAATAATTCTTCAAAGTATCCTGAGGATTCAGGTGAGGAGGATATCGGATAGTTGGGTGAGAGAAATAGCTAGATGGGGCAGGAGGAAGAATAGCTTGTGGTGGAAATGGCAATGGTGAAGGTGGAGGTGGAGTTCTAGTTGAGATGACTGAAGAGAGAAAAAAGCACAAGTTATTTAGTATCTTTTTTATAATAAAATATAACATAAGACAGTAGATAAAAATCTAAATCAAACAATATAAAATTATTTATTTTCTTCCTATCCATCCCATTTTTAACCTACAACCTTTTGAACCACTAGACCTTCATACCTGAAGCGTCTCAGGAGATAGTTTTTCCTTAGTGATGCAATTTTGCTTTATTGTGAATATTTACTCTATTTTGCACAGTTCTGCATAGAGAAAGCATTGCATTTCAGAAAAAATATTTCAGTTATCAAATACGATAACTAATCAAGGTAAATCAATAAAATTAAAACTATAAAACATGTTTTTAATTGAAAGTTAAGAGACATAGTCCGAAGCAGGAATAAATGATCCAATAATACTTTCTGTTATTCCCTAGCTAAATGCATGTGAAAGGGTGGGAGGGTGGGGAATAATTACTAAGCAATAACACCATGAATAATTAGCAATCCATTGTGAAAATGCTAATGAATGTTCAACTTAAGGGCCTGGGAAAATCTTTCACCCAAGATCTCTCTAAACAAAAAGACTATCATATCCCATACAGATTTTTTCCCTTGCATTTCTCTACCATGCAATTGTGTGCTAAATCTAAAAACACAGTGAAGTCCTCAGCAATAAAGGGAATATAAAGATTATCTTGTTACTGCAGAGCTAGTACCTCAGAGATGGGAGATACATTATCATTCAATCATTAATATCATTTCATTTATATATAAGATATATTGTGTGATAAAAACAAAAACAAAGAAATGGGGGAATGAACAAATGTTATGATATTATTATTGTCATATGGGGACAATAAATATATAGCTATAACTTAAATTAATTAATATACTGTCCATCTCACTCTGCAAAGCAATGCATTAGATTGGATGTAGATTTACAACCATATTTCATACAAATTATTATTTAGTTTACTAATATATTTCTCTAATATGATGAGTGGTATTATCTTCACTGCTTCTAGCTTTAATATTGTACAAGTCATTTTATCTCTATCATTACTTAGGACAGGGTTGACTCTGACCAGGGCCTAAAAGCAATATATTCTGAATAAAAATTCTGCCTTATAAAATACTTGTTTCAAATGAACTTGTGGCTAATGCAGAATGTATTGTAGAATGCATTTTTATGTTCCACTTTCATCTACTTTTTCCCCCTTGGCTAAATTGTTTTTATAACTCATTCAAAGGTAAAAGTAACCTTAGTTTCTCCCTTTTATATTCACAACAATAAAGTTGGGGCAAGAGAGTGAGTGACTGACCCCAAATTCCCAGTAAGTGGGTCAAGTGGGGAGTAGGAGTAGGTCTGTCTAGCTCTTATTGAATGCTTAAACCTCTGTGCTGGAGGAGATCCTTTTCACAATGGCAATTATGGTCTTGGCCAAAAAACTTTTGCTCAATCAAAAAGACACTAAAGATCTGAAGTTCAGGTGCCCTCGAGCATTACATTGCTAAACAACAGTTCAGCTGCAGGGGCTTCCATAAAATCTAAAAATGAAAGGACAAATTCTTCTTAAATTATATTTGGGACCTGCCATTGATTTGAATAAGGAAATGGTAACAAAACCTTAGCATAGGGCTAGGGTAATTCAGATTGACTGGCCAATGAAAATCGACTCCTCTCATAAAAATGACCGTGGGGAAAATTCAGTATCAGAAGAGCCCTTGATATAAGGGCGGTAATGATGTCATTTCAGTTCACAGAAAGGCCTTCCTATTATTTAACTACCTCTTAAATGATACGTTTACACAGCTGAAAATTTGAAGATTTTAAAAAGACTTTCCTTAAAGTACACTATAAGCTGTGTTCAAGGATTTCCAGTAAAGGACTAACAAATAATAGATAATCTTCATCATACTAAACTATTTGAGACCATCATACTTGATACATCTTCCAGAGTAAGCAAAAAAGAATCAAGCTTTATCATTATAAAATTCCACATTTATTTCATGCGGTTACAGAAGCAATGCTATCAATACCATGTGTTTATCCGTCTGCATGAACTAATAGCTCCCAAATAAGCTAAATAAGGGAGGCAATGTGGAAAAGGAGGAAGGAAATTGAATAGATTCATTTTATAAAGTGAGCTCTAGAAGATGGCTACACCACCCCATCCCCATTTATTCTTTGCACTATAGCCACATAGCCACTCCACTGAAACAAAATATCTGGAAAGGCTTGAAAACATGGCTTTGCCACCAAGGCTGAGAATTCGGTAACATGGGTATAAAGCCTACTGATTGGTTGCATTGCTAGTGAAATTGAATGTGCTTTCCTATAGATTATGCTTTTTGAAATGATTCTTAATGATTGTTTTTAATGGTTTTTTATGTTACTTTTTTGGTGATTTTGGTATTGTTTAACTCTGTATGCTATTCAGAGTCCCATATATTAGATTGGCAGCTAAATAAATAAATAAAGATATAAGTGAAATAATTACTAACACTATCTTGCTGATACTGACACTGAACATCAACTTAAAATTGTTGGGTAAAGAGTTTAGTTGTAGGCTGCCTTCATGTTTTATAATCACTATGATAAAAATATATAATTTATAAATTTGATAGTAAATAATAAAGCAATCTATCAGAGAATTTTTAGATAGTCACCAGGTGCAAAATCTTGATTGAATTATCCCAATAAAAATGGTACAGGGGGTTGTTTTGTTCGAAGTTCAAAATATAATTTTGCTACTCAGTTTCTGATAATGAAGGCAGCTCTTTTTCTAGCCACAAAAATTATGTTACAACTCTAAAAGGACAAATATAGTGTTTCACGATGACTGAAATAAATTTTAAAACTGAGAATTTCTTAGCCATTGCTCAATCTTTTATCCTATATAGTTAGCTTAATGGAACAAATTGTGCCACTTTTGTACATTCCCCCCAAATCTGCTTAAATAGTTATGTAACTTTTGAGGGGTCCAGACCAATAACTGTCAACCCACTGCCAAACTGCTCTCCAGTTTGGCAGTGGATTAATCTGCCTTTCTATAGCTTGAAGCTAATCTGCCTTTCTGTAGCTTGAATCCAATATTCTACATCCTTCACAAAATGAGAAAGATCTTGAACTTCTGTGATGCGACATCTTTCAGGTATTTAAAGCATGCTACCATGGCCTCTTCATCTGTCTTTTTCTAACGCTAAAGATAACAACCCCCCCTCTCAACTTCACTGAATCTGTTTCAACTTCAATGAATCTCTGTTATGCCCCAAACTGAGCACAATTCACAAGGTGAAACCTCAAAAGTACCATTAGTTCACAATGTAGTGATTAAATAACTGGCTGGAATTACTTCCTGTGCATTTATCACACCTGTGTAAAAGACTGAGTCAGACTCAAAGTATTGGAATGACTATGGAAAGCCCCAGACGTGACTATAACTTTTGTCCATTATATCAGTTTCATAAGAATTTAAGAGCTGCAGGGAAGGTTTAGCTTTTAATGAGCCAAAGCTTACTGTCTTACCAGAGACACCTGTCCTTCTTTGCACAAAACAAACAGGCTCTACAATGGCCTATTCAAAAGCCAATCTTTTATGTTGCCCTTCCCCAGCTATTAATTCCTTTAACAATCTGTATTTTATTGGCTTGTTTTTATTCATTTATGTATTTATTCATTGCAAGAAATGTTGATTACTGCTAACTGCATAAACAAGTTCCTGCAGTTTTCTTAGCAAGTGGTTTGCCATTGCTAACTTCCTAGAATTGAGAAAAAGTAACTGGCCCGCTGTCACCCAGTTCACTCTGGGTCTAAGACAGGATTAAACCTCACGGTCTCCTGGTTTCTCGCCTGATTCCTTAACTACATCAAACTTGTTCAACATGTTTTTATTGTACTATTTTTCTGATTATTCATAAATCATTTTTAATGACAAATATATTAAAAAATTAATAAATAACAATGCTTGAAACTCTTATTCAAACCCTACATGTACTCCCAGGATATCATAGGAATTTCATTTAACTGTCTGTTAAAAAGAAGAAAACAATCATGTACTAATCTTAGTGCACATGAAATAGTGATATATCTATCTACATATCAATTCATAAATAAAATGATTGTCCTGTTTGAGATTATACATCTCACGATCTAAATAAAACACTTGTGGATGTGACAGAATGGATGTTTCTCCAAAAATGAGATGTTGTTTACATTTGCTAAAGAAATACAGTTCAGCTGAAGCAATTTTCCAAGCCTCCAGCTCATAGGATAATCTGGTATAATTTTGAGTTAAGTGTTGAATTAACGTTACGTTTACCCAACTTTCCTGCATTTTTTGCATTTTGAAAGATAAACATTAAGACATTTTCTATCACTTTTGTTTCCTCACCACTGTGTGCAACTCCTGGGATTCCTGGATGATGATGCTGGAAAGTCAGTCTTGGTGAAGAATCCTGGGGAGATGTAGTGCTAAACAAAGGCTTTTCAGGTTTCTTCATTGTAGGAGAAGACATATCTGCAATGGCATACAACACAACATGTCCATTAACCCCAAAATCACAATAATGATTCTAGATAATTGCTTATGCTCTTTTAGAAGTAACAGTTCCTAAGTTAGTGACTAAAATGCACTGCATTGGAAAACAGTAAAGGGTATGCATTACTTTAGATGAACAGTTATAGGCTTCCTCTAGTAACCATAAAATAAAATCCTAAAACATAAGAGATGTTATCACCATAATTCTTATGGGATCATTATGTAAGATTTTCACACCTCATATTTACACAATAAAGTCATACACACACACACACACACACACACACACACACACACATCCACCATTCACACACTTGTTTTAATAAATGCGTATCTACATCAGCAATTCCACTGTTAGGAACAACCACTTTTTAATATATATCTGTATTTATTTCACAAAGGCAGTATAATTTTCCTCTCCTTTACACATAATCCTACAAATGTTATATATAATCAGTATAGTTCGGTTGACATGTTCTCAATTTTTTTTCAGCTTACATATTTAACATCGCACTATTATATAGATAGGAGAGTATTAAATGAAGAGCTGAACTTGAGCAGAAATATTTAAGAAGACATAAAAAACGTATGTGAGAAGACTGCACTAGATAGGACAGTGACTGAAACACAGACAGAGAGCATAGTTCAATGAATACTAGCAAAAGTAGGAATAAATAAGCTTTGTCTCAGCAACCTCTGTGTGTGGGGGGGGTTGTTTCTTTAAAACATTTAACAGTATGATGCCAAAAATAGCATTTAACTGAGTTATCCACAATTATGTATAATAATTATACATTTTTATAAATATTTTCTTATCAATAATGCAGATTTTGATGAGCCAAATTTTCTGTTAAGTTTTCACCGAGTTTGCAATAAGTGTAATTTGATTCTAGACCTTCTCTATTTTAGAGAAGAGAAAGATGTCTACAGACAGAACTTTCAGAAGTACAAGTTCTATTTGTACAGCAAGTCTTGAATCTGAACAGTGTAATTTACAATTTCTTAGTTTTCTATACTTCCTCAATTTCATTTTAAAGACTGTTTGATTGATTGACTGATTAATTGAATTTATTTATATAGCCACTCATTTTGCAATATCAACTCAAAGCAACTTACAACATGATTATTCTGAGGTTTGCCAATGACCATTTTAGAAGATTACAAATCCCTCAGAAAAAGTGAAAATGCAAGTTACTAAGAAACATCTTCATCACTATTAGAAAGACTGCGTAGCCATTCATTACTGTTTAGTTCTTTAAGTAACCAAAAATTATAAATGACATAAATAAAACAATTTCTCCAAAGTAATTTTCTTTGAGGTGATTTTTTTAAAAAAAAACAAAAACAAATAGACAGAAAGGATTTCAGAAATAGAGGGCATACATATTTCTCTATTCATCTATGAAGCATTCTGGCTGGCTCAGTCAAATCAAGTCTAGCCCTCTATTTTTCTCTTTCTCTTCCTGCCTAATCCATCTGTCAGAGCTTCTCTAAAGTTAACGGAATTGCCTCAACGAAATATATTTTCTCCTGACAGCCAGTTTAGTCTAGTGGTTAAAATATTGCATTAGGAGGAATTTGGATTCTACTTCTGTCTTAAGCTTGGAAGTCAAGTGGGTGACCTTGAGCTAGACACACTCTATTTCAGCCCTAAGAAGAAGGCAATGGCCAACTACTTTTGAAACATATAGCAGAAAAACTGCAGGAACTTTTCCATTAAGCCAAGATTGACACAAAGGCCCTCAAAAATCATCTACCTAAATAAATTGAATGCACTTCTCATTTTCTTAAAGCCCATTTTATAAGAAGCTACCTGAAAAGATTTAACTATTGGTTTTTCATATAATGATTCTTTCATGATTGTGAGCGAGAGATTATGAAGAACCCAGGCTGAGATTAAAGTCCTAAGAGGTTGTTGTGGTGCTTGATAGGCACAACACATCCAAATTCCCACCTTGAAGATAAAAAGCTCTCAAAATCAATGAATTTGCTCCTGCTGTGTGCTGTGAGCCCAAAAAGAGTTCAGAGGGTTTGCTTCTTCCAATTTAAACAGCAACTCACTGACATTTTCAAGCAGAAGCTTAGTAACTTTTTTTTTAGTCTCACCAATTTTTTTCTGTTATGTACTGTAGCAACAATGTGGAAAATGGCATGGGTTGGTCAATAAACTTCAGACTCTGATACTGCTTTGTACATCTAGGTACAGACTAACCACCACATAATTTATGGTATACAATGTAATTTCAAAAAAGAAAGTAGTATATAAAACACTGATTTCTAAACGAAAAAAGGAAATAAATAATACAGAAGTTACTGACAGTCAAGACTACACTGACAGAACTGGTCTGGTTACTATTAGCACTACTATGTTCTTCAGTTCATAATGTATAATCATTAAACAACTTTTGAAATAAAAAGAATTGAAAGATTCAAAGATACAAGATAATTTTCCATGTTAAATATGAGTAGAAGTCCACAATTACTAGCGTCTTGTTTACAGACACATATCCTTGTTAATCGTCAATCAATAAACCTAGTGAGAGTCCTGTGTTTCTTCAAAAGGCAAGTAAATCATTTTAAGCTAGGTTTATTGTCCTGGGAAAATAACTAACTTAAATAGTTTCAGGGAGGGAGACAGGAAATTGTGAAAGAAAAGTAAAATACTGAAGTGCTTTAGATGTGATTAAAACAAAACATGTTATTCTGAGACAAATATTTTTGTACTTGATGATTAGTTAATAGCACTGCATGATTAAAAAAAAAAACCTCTTGTCTGTATTTATGAAAAATGGTATTCTCCACTGATTGTTTCTGGGAGCGCATGCATCTGCGATGTGTTTTTAAGGGAGAAACAAGCATACTATACTTAATCACATCAACAATATATGTTGTAGCAATTAGGATCACATGATGAAATGGGTGATTCATAATGGAGTATCAAACATGAGGTACCCAAACAGAGCCATGTAAAGCATTTGAAAAGGGTATACCATGAAGCATGTTAGCAAAACACCCCTCTTTGATGTATTGAAACAGTGGCATATGTTAGGAGGCTCAGCACAACTTCTTTCCCCAGTGGAAGCATTGTTTTTGGATGCACATACTGTATATGCAAAGACAATAGAAGAAAGCTTTTACAGCAGCTGCCTCAGCCTCCCAAAGAAACAGCTGTTCTAATGCTTCAAAAAGAGAGGTACATTCACAGCAATGTACTTTCTGAAGCATCTTTTAAAATGTTTTGCACAGCCCAAATTGCAAAACTGCAACAAAGCCACTTGCATCAGTAATGGAATAGATTAATTGTGGATCAAAATCACAGATGCAGTAAAAGAAATCAAAGTTAGAATAGATTTAACATTACAAAGTTGTCCGAGTTCATTTTAAATAGCCTTCTATAGCCTAAGTCACCCCCTCCTTTAAAAGTGAAAATTACAATGTTGAGAATATCCCAAACATCTTCACCATTGTTGATAATTTTGTCAAAGTGCCAAGACTCAGAAGACGGCTGAGCTAAAACATATTCTGCCGTACAGAAAAAAACTGTTGTCGTTTTGGAAATGTTGGTTACTAATAATCTGATACCAACACTATGTATTTATATGGTAATACAGAATAGACAACGGTATCTGAATATGTTCCTGAAGAAATTAAACAGAAGCTTGGATAAATTAAAAGCTTCCGGTTATTACTGCATAATACTAAAAAGGTAAAGAATATGCATGTCTGATTGCATTATATAGTATGCATTACTAGCATGTCAGTGAAACAAAGGCACAAACAAATTAGAAAAAGTTGGATCAATTCATTTCCCAAACAAGGTAACTGCACCTACAAAGTAAAGCAAACAAGTAAGTTGCTATGAAGCATAGCGTATGTAGCTCACTCAAGGCAGCTTGCACACATGGTGCTCCAGATGTATATCTGTTCAAGTTAGCCCAAGGCAACTATTTTGATCAATTCTAATGAGATAAAATGCTTCAGGGAAATGTGCAGAAATGTGTTTACGTCAGACTTTAATTAAACTGTTGTTTGCTTCCCAAGAACCATAAGAGACACTAATGAGACATGAGTTTCAGCAATTTCCTCATCAAAAGGCAAGACCCTCTGCCTCTCTATGAGCAGGCTGCCCTCTGAGGAACTCCCTTGGTAGATGTCACATGGTACACCAATCATGAAGCCACCTGTTAAACAGAACCCGAGGCAACATATAAGTGAGGCAAAGCTTAAAGATCCACTTGCCCACACTGGACACCTGTTTAGCTTTCACAGACAGCAACACAACATGTTCATTTTCCTAGGAAATTTTAGGGAAATCACAATGGGACATCAGTACAGATGCAGAATATTTTTGAATCTACTTCACCAGCTTAAATCCCAAATCCATTCCCATTTAATCACTGCTCCATACTTGCTTTAGAGCATTGCAAGCAATTCACTGAGAATAAAAAAAAAATCATAAACAGAATGTATCAGAATAGTCCCATTTGCACAGTGGTTGCAAAGTCAAAAAGTTAAACTGTGTTGAAAATAGGGAACAGACTAAGATCCAAACTAACCCTGAATATTTCTTTTTCATATATATGGTTTTAAAATATCATTATGGAAGGAGAAAAGAAAAACTGCCCATAGTTCACACAGATCTAATAACATTCAATGAGGTCCTTAGGAAACATGGGCCTTAGTTCTATCCCCTCATTCTGCTTGTTGTAATTAAGGTCTCTTTTCTAATAATCTATAAGACTAAAAATGAAGGTAAGAATGAACATACATTCTAACTGCCTTCCCACTCTATATGTGGATTACTAGAACCTTTCTGCTCCCCCAAAATGAAATCAACTCTTGAAATCCTAATAAACACTATTCAGTTTTTACACTTCATAACTATTTTGGATTATGACATCTAGAAAATGTCTTTGGAACATTTTTATAACTGATACTTTAAAAATAAAATTAAAAATCTTGGTTGTGATGATGAAATT